CATAAATAAGAAGTGCTGCTCCTGAACCCCCCACCCCACCAATTACCCTATGAGAAAAGAAAACCTACCCTCTGCAACGAGCGACCACCTCAATAAACACAATAAAGAAGAGTCCTAACCCGTACCCTGACCCAACCCCTATCCCTACCCCTACCTTTACCCCAACCCTAAAAACCTAACCCTCAACAAACACAATACAAAAGAGACCTACCCCTAACACTCAACAAATACAAGCTTACCTCCACCCCTACCCCAACACTAACCCCAACCCCTAGTTTCTACCCCAACCCTACCCCTTACCCTAATAATCCTCAACAAACAAAATAAAGGAGAGACCTACCCCAAACCCTAACCCCACCACTACCATCCTAACCCGAACTCTACCGCAAACCTTACCCCTACACCGATCCCCAACCCTTCACAACCTCAATAAAGAAGAGGCCTAACCCTAACCCAAAGCCTACTCCATCCCACCCCCACCTCTAACCCTCAACAAACAAAACAAAAAAGAGACCTACTATTACCCCTACCTCCACCCCGACCCCAACGACTTACCCCTAGCCTTAAACAAACACAATAAAGAGGAGACCTACCCCTACCCCTACACCAAACCCTAACCCCCCAAAAAAACACAATAAAGAAAAGACCTAACCCTACCCCCTACCCCCATCCCAACCCAACAACTAACCTTCATTAAACACAAGGAAAGACCTATCTCCCTAACCCTACCCCGGGCCAGACCCTACCCCTACCCATACCTCTATCCCAACCCCTACCCATACCCCTGTCCCAACCCCTACCCCAGACCCTACCCATACCTCTACCCCTATCCCTAAACCTAACCCTAACCCTAACAACCCTCTATTTTTCTCAATTTCATATTGGTGGCTTGTTGCGGAATTCCTCCTGCCTAATAATAATACAATGTATTTTGCTAGAATTTAATCGCAGTGAGAATTTGGTTAGAAACCGAAGAAAACCTGGCAACTCTGCGTTCCTAAACAACGGAAGTAGATAAAGTCTGCATGGTCAACAATGGCTGCACCTTGATTCAAGTCTACTAATCCCCGACTCAGACCTTCAAAACTTTAAACTGGGCTTAAAAATGCGCAAACTACCGTAATTTTGTCATGAACAGATGGTATAACAGTGGCTTTCGGTCTCCCATCATGATTTTGGAAGCCTTTGAGTATAATATAGATTTAATAGTGGTCGCTCGTTACGGAAGTCCTCCCACTACGAGTGGAAAATTCTCTAGAGTAGACTAGAGACACCTCTATGCCGTTCTATTCTATTCCTAACCTGGGCTTTGTTTTATCCGATTCCAGACTTCTAATCTAGATTGAAAAACTAGCCTACCCCTGTGCAGTCTGCAGCCAGCCATGCAACTACACTACACTACTACAGACTCAAGTCGATCTCATAGAGGAAGATCCTTCCAGTGTTCAGTCATTTTTCATTATATAGGCTAATTAGTTAGGCATTAGTCTAGTGATGACTGCTGTCTCTTTATTTTCATTCATTTTCCAGGAATTTCATCCTTTCAACTGTTGCAATTCATTACGCCAACTTTTAAAAATATTAAGTTAACCTTCGTCCTGTGGGGGCCGGGTTTCTGTTTCCCGCTAAGCCTATTTCGGCAACTCGCCTTCGTTCTGGTCCCACGTCAGTCTGGCCCCTGGCTCAGCGCACTCGCGGCGAGCATCATCTCCCGTTCAGCTCAAGTGTGTGTGCGTCAGTCTGAGTTTGTCTGCTTTTTGGCCTTCTAGAACCGTCTGCGTTGGTTCGTAACCGAAGTATATACGTCTCATTCAAAACATGCCAAGTTGATAGCTCTAGATGTTCGTCCAATGAAATTATAGAAGAAATTGACCCACTTAGACATGAGGAGCTCGAAAGGATAGTCAGGAAACAAGACTTCCATTTTTCTATACAAAATATTTCAAATGAGCTTGATT